TTTTTCTTTTAAACCTGCTGCTTATTAATTTCATTTGCTGACCCCTAGCTCTTGTGTTATGAGAAGTAGTAAACAACACTTCCTCATATATTTTCTCTACACCAGTCATGATTTTATAGACCTCAGTCATATCTCCCTTTAGCCGTCGCTTTTCCAAGCTGAAAAGTCCCAGTCTTATTAACCTCTCCTGATACGGAAGATGTTCCATACCCCTAATCATTTTTGTTGCCCTTTTCTGAATCTTTTCCAATTCCAATAAATCTTTTTTGAGATGGGGCAACCACATCTGCACACAATATTCAAGTTGTGAGCATACCATGGATTTATATAGAGGCAACATGATATTTTCTGCCCTATTATCTATCCCTTTCATAATTATTCCCAGCATTCTGTTTGCTTTTTTGACTGCCACTGCACATTGAGTGGATGTTTTCAGAGAATTATCCACAATGACTCCAAGATCTCTTTCTTGGGTGGTAACAGCTATCATTTCATATCTATGGTTGGGATTATGCTGTCCAATGTGCATTACTTTGCATTTATCAACATTAAATTTCATCTGCCATTTTGTTGCCCAGTCACCAGTTTTGAGAAATCCTTTTGTAGCTCTTCGCAGTCTGCCTGGGTCTTAACTATCTTGAGTACTTTTGTATCATCTGCAAATTTTGCCACCTCACTGTTTACCCCTTTTTCCAGATTATTTATGAATATGTTGAATAGGACTGGTCCCAGAAAAGACCCCTGGGGGACACCACTATTTACCTCTCTCCATTCTGAAAACTGACCATTTATACTTACCCTTTGTTTCCTATCTTTTAACCAGTTACCAATCCATGAGAGCACTTTCCCTCTTATCCCGTGGCAGCTTACTTTGTGTAAGACCCTTTGGTGAGGGACCTTGTCAAAGGTTTTCTGAAAGTCTAAGTACACTGTATCCACTGGATCCCCCTTGTCCACATGCTTGTTGACCCCCCTCAAAGAATTCTAGTAGATTGGTGAGGCATGATTTCCCTTTGCAAAAACCATGTTGACCCCTCCTCAACAAATTATGTTTATCTATATGTCTGACATAAATGGGTTCAATAAAGAACTAGATAAATTCATGGAGAATAGGACCATCAATGGCTATTAGCCAGGATGGGCAGGAATGGTGTCCCTAGCCTCTGTTTGCCAGAAGCTGGGAATGGGTGACGGGGGATGGATCACTTGATGATTACCTGTTCTGTTCATTCCCTCTGAGGCACCTGGCATTGGCCACTGTCGGAAGACAGGATACTGGGCTAAAAAGATCCTTGGTCTGACCCAGTAGGACCATTCTTATGTTCTTATGACAATATTGTTCTTTATTATAGGTTCAACCACTTTACCTGGTACTGAAGTCAGGCTTACAGGCCTGTAATTGCGAGGATCACCTCTGGAGCCCTTTTTAAAAATTGTCATCACGTTAGCTATCTACCAATCATCTGGTACAGAAGCTGATTAAATGATAGGTTACAGACTACAGTTAGTAGTTCTGCAATTTCACATTTGAGTTCCTTCAGACCTCTTGGGTGAATACCATCTGGTCCTGGTGACTTACTGCTGTTTAATTTATCAATTTGTTCCAAAACATCCTTTAAGGATACCTCAATCTGGGATAGCCCCTTAGATTTGTCACCTAAAAAGAATGGCTCAGTTTTGGGAATCTCCCTCACATCATCAGCCTTGAAGATAGATGCAAAGAATTCATTTAGTTTCTCTGCAATGGCCTTATCGTCCTTGAGTGCTCCCTTAGCACCTAGATCGTCCAGTGGCCACACTCATTGTTTAGCAAGCTTCCTGCTTCTAATGTACTTAAAAAAAAAAACCTGCTATTACTTAGTCTTTGGCTAACTGTTCCTCAAATTTTTTTTTGGCTTTCCTAATTGTATTTTTACACTTCATTTGCCAGTGTTTATGCTCCTTTCTATTTTCCTCACTAGAATTTAACTTCCACTTTTTAAAGGATGCCTTTTTGCCTCTCACTGCTTCTTTTACTTTGTTGTTTAGCCTCAGTGGCTCTTTTTTGGTTCTCTTACTATGTTTTTTTAATTTGGGGTATACATTTAAGTTGAGCTTCTATTACATTGTCTTTAAAAAGTTTCCACGCAACTTGCAGAGATTTCACTCTAGTCACTGTACCCTTTAATTTCTGTTTAATTAACCTCCTAATTTTTGTGTAGTTCCCCTTTCTGAAATTAAATGCTGTAGTGTTGGGCTGCTGTGGTGTTTTTCCTGCCACAGGGATGTTAAATGTAATTATTTTATGGCCACTATTACCAAGTGGTCCAGCTATATTCACCTCTTGGACCAGATCCTGTGTTCCACTTAGGACTAAATCAAGAATTGTCTCTCCTCTGGTGGGTTCCTAGAAGCAGTCATTTAAGGTGTCAGAAAACTTTATCTCTGCATCCCATCCCAAGGTGACATGTACCCAGTCAATATGGAGATAATTGAAATCCCTCATTATTATTATTGAGTTTTTTATTTTAATAGCCTCTCTAGTTGCCCTGAGCATTTCACAGTCACTATCACCATCCTTGTCAGGTGGTCGGTAATATATTCCTACTGCTATATTCTTATTATTAGAGCATGGAATTTCTATCCATAGAGATTCTATGGTACATTTTGATTCATTTATGATTTTTACTTCATTTGATTCTACGCTTTCTTTCACTATAATGCCACTCCCCCACCAGCACGACCTGTTCTGTCCTTCCGATATATTTTGTACCCTGGTATTACTGTATCCCATAGATTATCCTCATTCCATCAAGTTTCTGTGATGCCTATTAGATCAATATCCTCATTTAATATGAGGCACTCTAGTTCACCCATTTTATTATTTAGACTTCTAGCATTCATATATAAACACTTTAAAAACATCTCTCCTTTTAGCTGTCTGCCATTACATGACGTAATTGAATGGGACTCTTTTTTTTTTTTTTGTGGTCTCTTTCTGATCAGACCCTGCCTGTATTTTATCATTTTCCATCCTCTCGTCCTCACTAGGACATAGAGATTCTCTATTAATAGATCCTCCCCTAAGGGATGTCTCTGTCCGAACCACATACTCCTCTGCACCTGTTGGCTTTCCACCACCCCTTAGTTTAAAAACTGCTCTTCGACCTTTTTAATGTTAAGTGCCAGCAATCTGGTTCCATTTTGGTTTAGGTGGAGCCCATCCCTCCTGTATAGGCTTCCCCATCCCAAAAGTTTCCCCAGTTCCTAAAAAATGTAAACCCCTCCTCCTATACCATCGTCTCATCCACGCATTGAGACCCTGCAGTTCATCCTTTCTAATGAGCTCTGCGTGTGGAACTGGGAGCATCTCCAAGAATACTACCATGGAGGTCCTGGACTTCAATCTCTTACCTAGCCGTCTAAATTTGGCCTCTCGGACCTCTCTCCTATAGTAACCACATGTACCACGACCACCGGCTCCTCCCCAGCACTACACATAAACCTATCTAGATGTCTTGAGAGATCCGCAACCTTCACACCAGGCAGGCAAGTCACCATGCAGTTCTCCCGATCATCACAAACCCAGCTATCTATGTTTCTAATGATCAAATTGCCAATTACTAACACCTGTCTCTTCCTAATAGCTGGAGTTCCCTCCCCTGGACAGTTCCCTCCCCTCCTCCTCTCGCATTGAGGATACCACAACATCATCTGGAAGGAGGGTCCCAAGTATGGGATTGGTTCCCTCTGCTCCAGTTAGATGCTCTCCTTCCCTGGGACTTTCATCTTCCTCAACAGCTGTCAGAGTGGGGGTGTGACCGTTCTACTGTGTCCCGGAAAGTCTCATCTATGTACCCCTCTGTCTCCCTTAGCTCCTCTAGTTCAGGCACTCTGGCCTCCAAAGCCCATACATGGTCTCTTAGGGCCAGGAGCTCCTTGCACTGAATGCACACATATGCCACCTGCCCATACGGCAGGTAATCAGACATAGAATCATAGAATATCAGGGTTGGAAGGGACCTCAGGAGGTCATCTAGTCCAACCCCCTGCTCAAAACAGAACCAATCCCTAACTAAAATCCCAGCCAGGGCTTTGTCAAGCCTGACCTTAAAAACTTCAAAGGAAGGAGATTCCACCACCTCCCTAGGTAACACATTCCAGTGCTTCACCACCCTCCTAGTGAAAAAGTTTTTCCTAATATCCAACCTAAACCTCCCCCACTGCAACTTGAGACCATTACTCCTCGTTTTGTCATCTGCCACCACCGAGAACAGCCAAGCTCCATCCTCTTTGGAACCCCCCTTCAGGAAGTTGAAAGCAGCTATCAAATCCCCCCTCATTCTTCTCTTCTGCAGACTAAACAATCCCAGTTCCCTCAGTCTCTCCTCATAAGTCATGTGTTCCAGACACCTAATCATTTTTGTTGCCCTCCGCTGGATGTTTTCCAGTTTTTTCACGTCCTTCTTGTAGTGTGGGGCCCAAAACTGGACACAGTACTCCTTTCCCACAGGACCCCTGCCTTAGGAGTGCACAGGAAGGCAAGTGCTCTGGTAATCCCCCTCCTAAATAGAATGCATTAAAAGCTGGCTGTCTCTCACCCTTCTGAAGCAGAGTTTTTTCTACTTAAATCAATTCCCCCAAACATACAACCTCTTTTGCTTTCACTGTTAACCAGCTCATACTCTATGGTGCCAAAGGCTTTTTTTTTTTTTTTTTTTTTTTTTGCAGTTTCTGCTGATCCTGATCCAGTCTCAAGTTTTGGGATCTGTTAGATATGTCAGAAGACCTTTTCATGGGTAGCCATTTCTAAGGAATAGTAAGACCATGATTCAAGAAAAGATGCATCGAATTATTGCAGAAAATTACAATTTGAGTGAGAGGCTGATCACTGCTGAACAAATACATTAAAAAGAATCTTAGAGAGATTTTTGCAGGAGAATTTTTGCAGCCTTATTCATGATTTTGTTTGCTCTGATAACATGTTTGCAAATAACTGCTTATTTTTACAAATCTTTCAGCCAGAAAGGAAAGGGAGAGAAAATGAAGAAACTGCTGAAGGTAAGTGACACTCAGAAATCTGTTCTGCACTCGCTACTGACTTAGGCACCGATGCTTCAATGAGTTACATACAGGTATAGTTTTAGGTGTGGGAATAGGACCTCATAGACCCAGATTTTAAGCCCAGAAGGACCCATTAGATCATCTAGTCTGTGCTCCTGTATAGCACAGACAAAAGAATTCCATCCAGTTATTCCAGTAATGAGATCAATAACTTGTGTTTGACTAAAGCATCTCTTCCAGAAAGACATCGAATCTTGATTCCATTTTTCAACTTGTTTTTTTTGAAAAAGGTGACACCAGAACTGGACGCACTATTTCCGTATCAGTCTGAGAAATGCCGTAAACCCGGATAAAATCACCTCCTTATGCCTGTTTATACATCCAAGGATCACATTAGCCCTTTTTGCCACAGCGTCGGACTGGGAGTTCGTGTTCAGTTGGTTGCCCACTGTGACCCCATAATCTTTTTCAGAGTCACTGCTTCCCTAGATTGTTCCAAGAGTGCTTGTTGCTAGAGTCCTTGTTGCACTTGGCTGTATTATAATGCATTTTGTTTGAATAGGCCCAGCTTTCTTAATGCAACAGATCGCTCTGCAGTACTCATCATTCTTTATGACTGCACCAATCTTTGTGTCATCCACACATTTTATCTCAGTGCTTTTATATTTACTGCAAGATATTGAATACAAGTATCAAATAATGTTGGGCTGTCATAAATATAAAGGGAAGGGTAAACCCCTTTAAAATCCCTCCTGGCCAGAGGAAAAATCCTCTCACCTGTAAAGGGTTAAGAAGCTAAAGGTAACCTCGCTGGCACCTGACCAAAATGACCAATGAGGAGACAAGATACTTTCAAAAGCTGGGAGGAGGGAGAGAAACAAAGGGTCTGTGTCTGTCTGCATGCTGCTTTTGCCAGGGATAGAACAGGAATGGAGTCTTATTGTAGCTCACGAAAGCTTATGCTCAAATAAATTGGTTACTCTCTAAGGTGCCACAAGTACTCCTTTTCTTTTTGCGAATACAGACTAACACGGCTGTTACTCTGAAACCTTTAGAACTTTTAGTAAGTAATCTAGCTAGGTATGTGTTAGATTATGATTTCTTTAAATGGCTGAGAAAAGAACTGTGCTGAATAGAATGACTATTCCTGTCTGTGTGTCTTTTTTGTAACTTAAGGTTTTGCCTAGAGGGATTCTCTATGTTTTGAATCTAATTACCCTGTAAGGTATCTACCATCCTGATTTTACAGAGGTGATTCCTTTACTTCTATTAAAAGTCTTCTTGTAAGAAAACTGAATGCTTTTTCATTGTTCTCAGATCCAAGGGTTTGGGTCTGTGGTCACCTATGCAAATTGGTGAGGATTTTTACCAAACCTTCCCCAGGAAGTGGGGTGCAAGGGTTGGGAGGATTTGGGGGGGAAAGACGTGTCCAAACTACGTTTCCCAGTAAACCCAGTTAAAGTTTGGTGGTGGCAGTGGATCCAGGGGCAAAGGATAAAATTAATTTGTACCTTGGGGAAGTTTTAACCTAAGCTGGTGAAAGTAAGCTTAGGAGGTTTTCATGCAGGTCCCCACATCTGTACCCTAGAGTTCAGAGTGGGGAAGGAACTTTGACATGGGCCTACATCCAGTCCTCACAAAACCCCTCAGAAACACTCCCATCTGATGATGATTCACCATTGAAAACTCCTTTTTGAGATCTGTCAGTTAACCAGATTGTAATCCATTTAACCTGTGCTGTGATGTTGTATAATTTGAGTATTTTCATGAGAATGTCATGCAATACCAAGTCCAATGCCTTAGAGAAGCCTAAGGATAAACATCATACAGTTTCTTTTATCAACTCAACTTGTAATCTTTCATATTATAAAAGGGATGTGAGGGTGCAGCAAAAGAGCTACAAAAGGGATTTGAGGGCTGGAGAAAATGCCTTATAGTGAGAGATTTAAAGACTCAATCTGTTTAGTTTATCAAAATTAGTATCAAGAAGTGACTTGCTTACAGTGTATAAATACATTCATTTGGAGAAATTACTGTGTACCAAAGGGCACTTTAATCTAGCAGAACACGAACCAATTGTTGAAAATTAAAGCCAGATAAATTCAGTTCAGAAATTAGGCACAACTTTGACAGTGAGTGTAATTAACCATTGGAACAAGCTCCCAATGGAAGTGGGGAATTCCTCCTTTCTTGATATCTTCAGATCAAGACTGGTTGCCTTTTTGGAACATGCTTTAGGTAAACAGAAGTTACTGGGCTCAATACAAAGGTAACTGGCTGAAATTCTCTTCCTTGCATTATACAGGAGTTCACACTAGATTACCATAGATTATCTCTTCTGGCCATGTACACCTGTGACCCCACACAACTATTAATGGAAATAATGATACACTAAATCCCCTTTGATTCCTTTTAGAAAAGGAGTACTTGTGGCACCTTAGAAACTAACAAATTTATTAAGGTGCCACAAGTACTCCTTTTCTTTTTGCGAATACAGACTAACACGTCTGCTACTCTGAAACCTTTGATTCCTTTTGTAAGTCCTCAGAAACCTCAGTCCATGCAGCTCAATGCTAACACACCACATCCTCCATTGTTTCTGCTCTCGTATTCCGAAGAGGCTGTCATATTTTTTGTGTCACAGTTCTGTGATGATCATAGAATCATAGAATATCAGGGTTGGAAGGGACCTCAGGAGGTCAAATGCCAACTGGCTGCTCAGCTCTGACACCATAGTGGTGAGAGCAGCACCTTTCACATGTGACTTAAAATCCATTTGTATCAAAGCACTGAGATGCTCCAGTGACCTGGACCTGAATTCTGATCTGAATCCAAACACAGGGAGGTTTCAAATCCAGACCCAAATCTTGAAACTCAGGCAGCCTGTAGTTTTAATGAGTTTATATAGATATATTTTTTTTAATTAAGAGAAATCTTAAACCCACCATCTTTACTTTATTATACATGCAATAACATAGTAAATCTGTCAAAATTCTTCCCAACAGGTGCACAAGAAAGCAGCCACATCAAATTAAAATTCATCCTTGTTGGTAAGGAAGGAGCTGGGAAAAGTGCAACGGGAAACACCATCCTTGGCAACAAAGTGTTTGATTCCAAACTGGGGGCAAAGCCAGTAACCGAGGCTTGCAGTACAGGGAGCATGAGCTGGAACGGGAAGGAGGTTGTGGTTATCGATATGCCTGATGTATTTTCTCCAGAGGCCAGTGACACAGAAACCTATCGAGAGATCAGTCATTGTATCCTGCTCTCTGCCCCAGGTCCCCATGCTCTGGTGCTGGTGACTCAGCTGGGCCGTTACACTGAAGAAGACAAGGAAGTAGTGAAGCGAGTATGGGAGATTTTTGGAGTCGAAGCTAAGAGGAACATGATCGTCCTGTTCACCCGGAAAGAAGATTTAGGGGGTGACTCACTGAGGGACTATGTGACAAACTCAGATAACAAAAATCTTAAGGAGCTGATTCAAGAGTGTAAGAACCGATACTGCGCTTTCAACAACAAGGCAACTGGAGCAGAGAGGGACGAACAGGTTAATGAGCTGATGGAAATAACTGAGAAAATGGTGGAGGAGAATGGAGGCAGATGCTACACCAATGAGCTGTATTCTGAGGTGGAGCGTATGGTGGATGGAGGAACTGAAGAAAAGCACAGGAAGGTTGAAGAAAAACTGAGAGAGCAGATGGCAAAACAAAAGACACCCAAGAAAGAGGCTATGACTACTAGATTACACAACATGTTGAGGAGACCCTGGCTGTAAGAGTAATGACCGAGGCCCAGCAGCTCCCACCTTCCACTGATCTATGGAGGAAGGGGCCTGTACCATTGGGGCAGCCTCCAGGACAAGGTGTAAAAGACTTATCCCCCTGGAAGCAACTGTAGCCATCATCAGCCAATAGCAGGGAGCCAGGGACCAGAACCTTCCCAACCTGCCATGTGATAACGAACCTTTTGGATTTCCCATTTTGGACTCTGAAACCTACTTCAATCACTATGCATAAACAACCCACCCCACTGCCAATAATACCACCTGCCCTGCAATATCGCTGCACCCCACCATTGCCTCTATCCTTCTTCCCTACCACTTTCCCTTGTTTTCATCCCTAATTTGTTCCCATATGCCCATCCTCCCCCTTTTGCCTCTGCTACACACTCACATGCCCTCTACCCCCGAAAACAGTTATTTGTTGTATGTAGCTATAGTTTGGAAACATCAAAATACAATCATATTAATGCTAATGCACTGGTTTATGTATATTTATTTGTATTTCATTAGCATGTAAGGGCTCCAATCAAGTATTAGGGCAGGGGTGGGCAAACTTTTTGGCCCGAGGGCCACATCAAGGTTACAAAACTATATGGAGGGCCGGATAGGGAAGACTGCCTCCCCAAACAGCCTGATCCCCACCCCATCCACCCCGACTGCTCCCCTCAGAACCCCCAACCCATCCAACTCCCCCTGCTTCCTGTCCCTTGACCACCCCCTCCCGGAACCCCCGTCCCTAACCACCCCCGCCTGGACCTCACCCCCTATCCAACCTCCCCTGCTCCCCATCCCCTAACCGCCCCCCCCCAGAACCCCACTCCCATCCAACCCCCCTCTATCGCCCCTTTCGGAATGCAGCCCCCGAACATGGGCGGAGGACTCAAGAGGAGCAGGGGCTGCTGGAGAGAAGCGGTGGTTTCCCCTTCAAAGCGCCGCTTCTCTCTGGCCGGCCCTTATTGGAAAGCCGGGAGGCTGCACGGCCTCCCGGTGTCCTCCTGAGTCCTCTGCCGCGTTCGCTGCACTCCTGCCACCCGCACCGCCCGCCTGCTCCCCTGAGGCTGCAGGTGAGCCTCCCTTCCTGCTCTCCCCTGCCCCCGCAGTGCAGCCCCCAGGGCGGGTGCGCCGGTGCTGAGCTGCCCCAGTGCCCAGCCCTGTGTTCACTTTTAAATCTGCCCCTGAGCCGCGCCACCCGGCCGGAGCCAGCCATGCCACTACGCTGCCAAGAGCGCTGGCGGCATGGCAAGGTGAGGCTGCGGGGGACAGCAGGGGTGGGGCCGGGGGCTAGCCTCCCCAGCCGGGAGCTCAGGGGCCAGGCAGGACAGTCCCGCAGGCCGTAGTTTGCCCACCCCTGCATTAGGGCCTTATTGTGCTGGATGCTCTGCAAACATGCAGTAAGAAGGCAGTCCCTGCCCCTAGAGCCATGCATGACTCATTTTAGTATGTAATATAATCAAGCTCATGGGGGTTAGCCACAGTGAGCTGGGAGAAGATTGTGGTCTGTCTGTTCAGTGAAGGGTAAGTGACGGTACAGTGTGAGATGACATTGTGTGCACAAGGGTGAAAGGGTTTTAAAATTTAGCAGCTGTGATGTTCTTTCTGTGGAGTACGCTAAGTGTGTGAGTGCCGGGCAGGTGTATGTAGCTCCTGTTCAGTACAGGGCAAAAGCAGCGTGCAAATATGTGTTACGAGTATATTGGGGCGTCACTCATAGAGGGGAGAGTTAAGGTTGCACGAGCAGGTATCCTGCATGGGCATGTAACTCTGTGTTTCCTGGATTTCATAAGCTTGAGTTATGCTAAACTCGGTGTTCTAGAAGGGCACATCAAACCACCGGTCAATTTTCACTGTACGAATGAAGGTTTTTGTCAGTGAATGTCCTGGGGTGTTTTTTTTTAACAGAAAGAGAAGTATTGTTGGTAGGGGGCAGTGGTTATTGAGGCAGCTGTAATTATCATGTGGGTGTGCAGCTGAGATGCTGTGGTGGCCAGGTAATAATGATAATAGCTACCTCTTCATCCGATCTCAAAGAGGGAAGCATCATTAATCCCCTTTTACAGAGGGGAAACCTGAACACAAGAACAGCCACACTGGGTCAGACCAATAATCCATCTAGCCCAGTGTCCTGTCTTCTGACAGTGGCCAATGCCAGGTGCCCCAGAGGGAATGAACAGAACGGAAAATCATCAACTGATCCATCCCCTGTCACCCATTTCCAGCTCCAGCAAACAGAGGTTAGGGACACCATCTCTGCCCAACCTGGCTAATAGCCATTGATGGACTGATCCTCCATGAATGTATGTAGTTCCTTTTTGAACACTGTTAAGAGTCTTGGCCTTCACAACATCCTCTGGCAAAGATTTCCACAGGTTGACTGTGTGCTGTGTGAAGAAATACTTCCTTTTGTTTGTTTTAAACTTGCTGCCTATTAATTTCATTTGGTGACCCCTAGTTCATGTGTTATGTGAAGGAGACACATACAGCCACAAAAAAAATTGGGTTTGCTTTATTGAAGTCTCGAAACAGAGTCTCAGACCCTTAGTATCTACCAGCCGCCAGAGGCTTAAGCTAGCCAGTGCTTTGGGTATCAAGCCTCTTCTGTTCCTCTAGACCACTTGGTCAATTGCTGACAGTAATCCACCACCACAGAGGACTGCACTGTCAACTTGACAAGCTAAATGGCTTCACACTGTATTAACAGCTCCATTGGGTTCCCCTTCCCCACTGCATCAAATTTAAATTTCTTGTCCTCACCTTCAGCACTGCTCTCTCCTGCCCTTGTGCCCTAAAGCATCACTCTGCCCCTCCTCCTCCCAATGCCCCCTCAGTGCTTTGTCTGCTTCTCCCACAACCATCTCTGGGCCTGTGTCCTTGCCGCCCCATGCCCATAGGATACCCTGGGCTGGTCCACCAGACAACTATGCCTGCCTCATTTAAACCCTCCTGAAGAAACAAACACCAACAAGGAGTGAGTTAACAAGTACATTTATGTATTACTTTATACAGGATTAAAACACCCGGCTCCGCCATGCTGCCTACCTGCCTTCCCTGAATCACTGTGTAACCATCTTCTTTCACTGGTTTCCTTCACCTCCCACCCCCACCCCTCATCCCCACCTTTTGCTGAAATAACTAAAAAGAGTAAACTACAGATGTGTGATGCACCAGCCTACGGACCACTGCAGGTGCCCCCTCATGGCTCCCCAGTTTCTGCAGACTCAGGCAGGGTCACATTTGGGAGGTTTCCTACACAGTAACAAGGGGTTGGAATATTTTACTAAACATAAATTCTGCAGAAACTGAGGGCCCACGAGAGGGCTGCAAGAAACACTTCCAATAAACATTGCATTCTCTGCACTTCAGACTTCTGGTCTTTTCCTCTCTCTCTGCATGACAAGAACCAGGGGAGAAGGTGAAGGGAAAGCCCTCTAAAAAGTACCTCTAAGAAATTTTCCTAGCGATCTGTCTGGAGGACTCCCATGAGTTCTCAGTGTGCATCAACACCTTGTTCCACCATACTGATTAGAGGCACAGAGAAATGTCCAGCACACAGAAACACAGCAAGCCTTGAACATTTCTATAACCTGAACCCACCACCACACTACACAGAGCAAAGCCACTTACCAGGGGTCTCCTCTCCTGCTTCTTGCTCGCCAGAGAGATACTGCTGAGACTGGCTGGACACCTCTGGAGTGGTGAATAGTTCCTGGCTGCCTCCCTCATTTGGTGACCCTGCTGTGGGCTCTAAATCATCGTCTAACTCCACTTCTTCATCAAAGACTTCGTCCACTTTCTGCCTCCTCCAGTCCCGCTGAAGTATCCATGGGCTCTTGGCAGTGGAGGTGGGGTCGCTGACAAGGATAGTGTCCAACTCCTTATAGAACCAGCAGGTCCTCTGTGCAGCACCGAAGAGATGGTTTGCCTCCCTTGCCTTCTGGTATGCCTGCCTCAGCTCCTTTATCTTTGTTCTGCACGGCACCGTGTCGCGGTCAGAGCCCTTTTCACATACGCCTCGAGCAATCTGCCTGTAGGTATCAACATTCCTAGGGCTGAAGCGCTGCTGGGACACATGTCCCCTTCCTGAGCAAGCTCAGAGAGAAGCCAAAGGCAAACTATGAGCTCATCTAATTGAAACCAATATTCTAGACGCAGCACAGTCTGGATTCAGGCCCGAACATGGAACTGAAACCACTTTAGTGGCACTGATCTCCTGCTGTCCGTGGATAGAGGAAAGACGTCCATCCTCGTCCTCCAGGACCGCTCTGCAGCATTCAGCACTGTAGACCATGAGATCCTGTCCTTGAAGGCCCCCTCCACAGTGGTCTGCAGAGACTCTGCACGCTCCCCCAGCAGCAGATGATCCTCTTCTTCCTTCTCCTCAAGGCTCCAGCAGCTCCCAGGCAGCAAACACAGCAGCAGCGGCGGCTCCAGCAGGCAGTCCCCTGGCCAGGCGGGAGGGACCCTTCTCAGGTGGTCATGGTGCCCACAGCTGCAGCAAGGGTCCATCACTCCCCTTCTCTGGGGAGCAGGCCAGCAGCCCCCCCCCAAGGAGCTTCAGGAGGAGCAGCAGCAACCAGGGGGTCCACCAGGTAGCAGAGAAGGGGGGAGGGGTCTGGTCCAGACAAGGGAGTAGCTGCAGCAGCAGCAGCGAAAGCCCAGGGCCTAGCAGCGGTAGCAGCCCTCCACCTCCCTCCCTCCAGGCCAGAGGGCTACAGGAGGGTGCTGTGGAAGGCAGGAGTCTGTTCAAAGGAAACCACGCTGGCCGCTGGATGAATAGTTTTCTGTTCCCTGAGTTATGAGAGCAGGGGTTGCCCAAGAGCAATCAGGAACCTGCTAGAACCAATTCAGGCAGGCAGGCTGATTGAGATACCTGGAGCCAATTAGGAACTTACCAGAATCAATTAAGGCAGGCAGGCTAATCAGGACATCTGGCTTAATGGAAGCGCGGGGGGGGTGAATGGTCCCGCTATTGTGGGGAACTTTCCTGGCTTCTGTACTACCCCGGTGAAATGGGCTAGCGGAAGGATCTGAGTCCTCGCTCCCACTTCCTTTACCCAGTGGCCTCCCTGCCCTCGAGGACTCCCCTTCCACTCTCCTGTGTGGCAGAGTCCTCGGAACCCCAGCAAGGCCGGGCCCAGGATTCCTGGGGGGCTCGACCCCAACCTTGCTGTGGTCACCTAGGACAGGGGCTGGGGTGTCCCCACGCTGGGGTGCTCTCTCTGCACTGGACACTTCCCTGACCCACTGATCATAGCATACAATTTAAAGCAAATACAGTTTATTTAATTGGAAATTAGTTTAAAAAGGAATAAGGAAAAATGGGAAAGGTTAAAGGAAACACGTCACCCCGTTCTGTGGCAGGGAACATCACAAACAGTGTCTCTGGAACGTCAGGGCTGTTCACCGTCTGTTCCTTGTCAGTCCCAGGCCCCCTGCTCAGGCC